CGTGAAGATATACCCAATAGATAGAGTTATAAGTATTAAACTAGTACAGAAGGTCACATGACTCGGTCTCAGGGACCAAATCCGTGTCGAAAGAGTTAAAGGGTGTTATAAAGTAATTGAACACACCTGTGCGGACTTTCATGATAAAGAGACAATTATTAAAAGCTCTGGATACAACTGTGATAACAGATAGCATAAGAAAATGTTTACATACATTTGACTTGTTTTTAATATATTAATTTAAAACAAGTGGACTGTGTGCTGTTTATTTATTTTCAACATTTATCTCCAAAAAGTCACAGACGCCTACTGTAAAGAATCCTGCCAACACATATGTAAAAACCTAACACTTTTACAAATTAAAACATAATCTATAATGACAAAAATTTCTCAATATACTACACTGAATTAAAAAGCTGCAACGTGTAATATTGACCAATCACATGCAAACATTGCCATGAGATTTCAGAGACAGACATGAAGTGAAAACAAAATGCAGAGAAACTGTTGATGGGGATTTATTAAGATTTTAGGTCTAGATCATGAAAAACCAGAAACAGAATATGATAATACACCAGAAATTCTGAAAAAAATATCCAAATATCATTTTGAAAGTCTTATTTACTTCTTAAAAGAATATAATTTTCAAAGCATATCTATATTTTGGAGGCCATTTGTAGATCCTTCTTTAATCATTTTTGTCAGCAGTACTAAATGACCATCAACAACAAGCCCATTAAAAAAACTTACAAATAATCACCATTACACAGTAAAAAGGCCAAAAGATACATGAACCTAAACAACCAAAAATCTAAATTTAGGTCAGATTACTAAGATTGTCAATGCTATTTCACTATAGAGTAAGTTGTTTTTCAATGTCTTGATATTATTCCTTTCCAAAAAAAATATTGCAATGAAACCACCATATTTGGATTAAAAATTTGCCAAAGAAACAATTTAGAATTTTTTTCATTATACACCTACAAACATGAGATACACTGAAACCTTGTTAACCATTTTCGAGACGAGTCACGGGTGAAA